TCCTATCTTTTATATTATCCAAACCCACCCCTCCCCCACTCTGCCAATATTTGGAAGACCTACAACAGAGAGAATCTGGGGCGAGAAGAATTACAACCACAATTCCTTGCGCCCTAAAATGATTCAAAATGGCGAATGTTATACTGTTTTGTGAATGGCTTTTCGGAAGCTCTTTTCGGATGGTTTGTTTTCTTCGAATTGCACAGCGTATTACAATAGTCAGTGCAATAACACCACTAAAATGGAGGAACTTGTATCATGGAAATTATTATTCGAATGTGAAAGTGATCGGAATGAAGAGACTTAAATTCCTATGTCTGCATGGCGTTAGCTCTCGAGTGAGTAGATAATGTTCTAKAATGTTCTCGATCTGCCTGTAAAGTAAGTCTTATTTATCAAACATAGTAAAAGCTTTCATTAATAAAGTCAAATGTGTCTAAGTATACAAGTGTATGTGTATTTCTAGGCTATCAATTTCCCGCAATACTATAGCTAATTTTTCTGTGCCAAATTTAAAGATCAGTTGCAAAAAAATATAAGCTTAAATCAAATGCACGTAAAAAGGAATCAATGCTTTATATAGTTTGTATAATTTTGGAGTAGTGATGACGTGGTCTGCGATAACCACTTTCTAAGAACCTCAGTAATCTCAGTCAAAAAAATACTGGTTAGAAAACTACATATTTTAAGAAGATTGACTTCAAAATACATTAAGACTTATAAAATCTTAAAACAATAGCCATTTTAAAATTATCTAACATCAAATGAGCCAAAAGAGATTAAATAAAACTGGCAGCTTATGTCAGCGAGGTATTCTGGCTGCTCACATAGGGAGCACATCTTAATTATTTCCATATTATGAGTTTATGTCAGTATGTTAWTATGAAAATATATATTGATTATAAGTGGCATGTCTTAATTATTTACATAATGTTATGTGTTGAGTTAATGTCCGTTTTTAATCATTAATATGACTATGAGTGCTCCACTATGATATATAATAGCTAGGACATTTGCATTAAGGCATCATGAACCTCTGCTACCAGAATCCCTTTGTTTTTTTAAAAATTTCATCAATTTTCTTACTATTCTCATGAGGGAATATGAATTTCAAAAAGAAAGAAAATTTGCAAAGCATTCTGGTAATGGTGGTCAATAATAATGCCACCAAGCAAACTCCTTTTAACATAATGCATGAATGACAGAAGTAATGAATACAAATATGAAAAAAATGAGTCTGAAAAAACAATCAAACTTAAGGCATTTTAAGGCGACTTTAAGCAATTTAAGGCGATTTAAGGCGACTTAAGGCGATTTAAGGCGACTTAAGGCGATTTAAGGCGACTTAAGGACCTGGGGTAGGCCTTAATACAGGGGGATCCAGAAATTTGCAAGGGGGATGTCCAAAATGACGTCAACAATAATGCTAATTTCATTGACTTATTTTGTGCCCACATTTTTGGGAGTGTCCGGTGCGCCTAGGAACAGCCCCTGGATCCCCCCTCAAATATTTCTTTACTAGATTAACTATACATCTTGGTTTACCTAATTAAGAAAAAAAAAAAAAAAAAAAAAAGAAAAGAAAGAAAGAAACAAAGAAAAAACAAAGAAACAAAGAAAGAAACAAAGAAAAAACGAACGAACGAAGAACAAATAAGCAGATAACACAATCCTGCTCTACCTTCTTTTCTTCAGAGTTGCTGTATAGCATTAAGAAAATCAAGAAGAAAAAAGTGGTCGAGGTCCAAAGGTCAGATCTAGTGGGACAGTACCTGGGATCCACTACAGAAAAAACTAAAGACAAGATAGACGAAGCACGTGGTGGCATCCTTTTCGTGGACGAGGCATACCACCTCATACCAACAGCAGGGGGGATGGATTTTGGGAGGGAAGCCATCGAGGAGTTGATGTCAGTAATGGAAAATGGTGACCCAATCATGATTTTTGCTGGCTACGAAAAGATGATGACCTAATTCCTTAAAGTAAATATGGGATTACAATCTCGTATTTACCTTAAATTTGTTTTCCCTGATTACACGATAGAAGAGCTTGGAAAGATTTTCAGGCAACGTGTGAAAGAAAGGTGGTATAATCTTGCCTCAGATATTAACGTGGCCAAAATAATACAAGAGAAAACCACAGAGCAGCAGAGGTCAATGATGAATGCTCGCCTCATGCGTCTTCTTCTGCAAGAAACCATCGAGGAGGCTAGCAACAGAGTTCCTCTTCAAGCTTCTCTGCGAGAGCTCCTCGAACTCAAGAGAGTGATGTGGTAACAGCAGCCAATCGTCTGCCGAGATATGCCGATGACATTGAAGAAGTACAAAGAGAAGATACGCAGATTTAGTGTCCTCGTCCGCGTATTTAGATCTATTAGAAACAATTTTTATACATGATAAAATTAATTWAAAAATTAATTTTTTTCTAAAGACAAAAAGAAAGGATAACTTTCAGTTACGATTTGATGTTTCAAGGATAACAAGTCATAAGTTTGGATATTACGATCATTCTTCTTTGGATAGTTTCATTACCTATATAGACTTAAACATGAGTGTTAATTTTACTGATTTTACGCCTAGAACACAAGTGGGTGACATATTTTCCATGTCTGCGGTTGAGATATTGATGACGTCATTCCTATGTATGTTGTCATTATTGCTATTACTACTTTTAATGTTGTTGTTGTTATCGCTTCTTAAACATTGCAAATCGTTTACCTACAATTAAGATTTAATTTTCGTGACTGAAAAGTACGAGATGAAACGAACATATAAAGTTCATAATCTCGTATAATCATTTTCATTTCCAATCATTTAATGCAGATCATTTTCTATTTTTCGAAAATAGACTGTGTATATATTCTTTCAATAAAAATAATCACGCATGATATTGCGACACATAAAAGGCTAATGAAATAAGAATAAAGCCATTCACTCCCAAATGGTATACTGGCGTTAAATTGAAAATAGTATACCACAGCGTATAGATTAAAGCCAACATTAATATATGCCGCGAAAGTCATTTCTTCGCAACATTTGCGTTTTACAAGAACAATTGGCCATGGCTATCAAGCGACAAACAGTGAATATGAAAGCAAAAAAGTGTATATCACGGCAAAAATTGTATATGAAGGCAAAAAAGTGTATATCAAGGCAAAAAGTATATATCACGACAAAAGTGCCATATCGCGGCAAAAGTGTATATCACGGCAAGTGTATATCACGGCAAAAGTGCATATCACGACAAAAAGTGTATATCACGGCAAAAAGTGTACATCAAAGCTAGAAAATGTATATCAAGGCAAAAGTGTATATCACGACAAATGTGCCGGTATATCGCGGCAAAAGTGCATATCACGGCAAAAGTGTATATCACGGCGGTGAGTTGTTTTTTAAAGAATCTCCTGACAGCTGTCAGGAACAGGAAAGACGTCAGAAAAGAATAAAAAAGATAAGCATTTGTGGTCAAGAAACTGACTACCAAAGCAGTAGAAATATACCAAGATGTTTTTTGTTATGTGGAAGGACTWAATAATTTTGAAACAAACGGCGCGCCATACAGGGATCTCAATAAACCGCACGGTTATTGGCAGTGGCAGGATACTGGACCAGGTGGCAGGATACTGGATCTCCAAACCACTTTGTTAAAACTGCGGTGCAAACCAAAGACAAAGGATACAAACGACAAATTTGTTCTTATTATGTTGCAGGATAATTGATTCATAATTTGGTCGGGTTTCAATGCATTAGCTTTTAATAAAAGGGAGTTAAAGCGATTTTTAGCTGAAGTGGCAGGATACTGGGCCACACACTGTACCCGTGAAATAGTTATTTAATTAGTATACTATTTCCGGCAATTTATATTGAAATGAAATCTAAAATTGTTATATTGCTGGATATCTTCATATTAGTGATAAACGTTATGTTTTTGCAGCGACGAAATGTAGTTAAAACATCGAGTTCTCTGACTTCACGTCCATGCATGGTGAAGTTCGAAAACTCGACGTTTTAACTTAAGTTTCTTAATTTTTTTTTTTTTTAAATCTCATCTCAAATCATACATACACTGAAACAGCCGTGATTTACATCCAATACAACCATAGACCAAATGCGAAACCCACCCCAAATGCGAGGCCCAACCCGCGAAAGAAAAAAGGATCCGGCGCGATCCGCGACTTTAAATCACGCCAGATACCCCCGTCCACAAGCCCCACACCAGCGCGCGCGAGTCTCGCATCTGGTCTATGATTGCTTAATTTTCTTAGATTTCTTAAGTTTCTTAATTTATATATTGTCTTTAATTGGGGCCGAGATTTCTCATTGACATTTTCATAAGTTTATTGCAATCACTGCATGTAACAACCCCAACTGAGCGCAATCAAAGTTGTGCTCAGCCCTACAGGTATACAAGTACCCAAGTAGAACTGCCATCTACAGATTTCTCTCTCTCTAGTTTTGACTTCTTTGTTTTTCGGAATTCAGTGGCATCTTCAGATTAATTCTTTTGTAGTGAAATAGTAGTTTTGATTTACAGTCTGGAGTTTGTTGTAAGAAAGGACGCTTTATCGTAGTTATTCTCACACATTTGCCAAATGTAGAAGGAATTTCACTGGTTGCTATTTATAACCGGAAATTAAAGAATGACATTCTATGTTTCTTAGTTTATCCCAAACACCTTAGCTAAGGGTAAAAACGCATCATTGGTCGCTAAGATATCGGAAATCGACATCGCCAGAAAAACAGAACCATTATGGGCGGAGCTTCTGTTTTGCACTCAACCATGGCTAATTCGCTGTCAATCCACACTCGCCCTTTTCATTGGTCGAGAGCTTGAGAGGTTAATTAGTATTCACAAAAAAAAAAATGGCGTCTGTTAAGCGAGAAAGAAGAGAGAAAGGGTTTTATTCGTCATTACACAACACTACGTCGGAGGATATATTACCGATTTGTAAGAAAGTTAGGAGAATTAAGGGAACAGGCCGCTTATGGGAAGTGGAGCGATTGATATCGCGGAGATCTACTAAAGGAGTAAGTTTACGTTGTAACTTTGATGAGTTTACATATTGTATAAAGTTCGTCCAACTCCATTTTTCAATGAGATGTGCTATATTGTTTTTAGAAAACCGAGTTTCTTGTTCAGTRGAAAGGTTTCTCTCCTTATGAAGCTAGCTGGCAGGACGAAAGCGAAATAACTCCGGAATGTCTACGGTAAATTATTTGATGTAATTWGTATTTAACTAACTTATATATAAGACCAGCTTACTTTTAAAATATYACAACAATTAATTTAGCGCTTAACTTTATAACTCAAATAGATATAACTCTTTTAAATTGTCATTATTTGTTTGTACGATTTCTATAAATTCTAATCTATAATCACCGTTTTGTATATACTAATAAGAAGGTTGACTTTTGTTTACTATTTAAACATTTTAGATTGTTCTTTAATCCATCTCTAGAACAAATGACTATATACAACGAGGTGGCAACATTGAGGGCGGCAGTAGAGGGGCACCTGTTATCCAAATCCAGACTGCCAGTTACTGTTACTTTTCGTGGTGATGTATTTAGGTGGCTATTTGAAAACAAGGGAAACAAAGAAAAGGGGTGGCTATATCTTTACAAAAGACATTTTCATAAGAAATATTTCCCCCCATGTGGGATCACTGCTGTGACTCTCATGGCCAGGGTATAAAGGTTTTCTACCCTATGAAAATTAGAGCCTTTATATCCTGGTCACCAAAGAAGTATTACCTAAAAGGGGGCAAATATATACCTTGCTCTAGGTTGTATTTAGAAAGGGCAACATTCTCCTTTGTAAAGGTAGCATTATGTGATAGTGATGATTAAGTCTRATAATTAATCTAATATCCTCAATCAAACTTTGCAAAGGAGAATGTTGTAGACTATTATTATTGACATGACTGTGGGTTTACAAATTGTGTATGTAGCTTATTTCTATATAATCAGTGGTTAGTCAAAAACAGCACTTGGTTGATAATAGTAATTAAGACACTTTTCTAATTTATGTATGTTCATATCTGTATGTGTTTTTTTTCGTATCCAATGTATGGAAATAGTATTATACACTCCACTGAAAATAAAATTTATACTTGAATCTCTAATTTGTGACTTTTGGCACTGATTTCTGTATTATGCTACAGTCACTAACTTTTTTTGCTATTTCTATTTGGATTTTTTGTTTTTGTTTCTCTTTATGGCTCTCTTTCTTTTTCTTTTTGGACAACAGTTATCCTGGATTAGATTTTGGATTTCTGCTAAAGGGGGATCTTCCTCAACAGGTTTGTCGTGGCTTACATATTTCTTAGATTTTCGATTTATTCTGATGGTAGTTTCCCAGAACTGCAAATTTCTTTTTGTATAGGGGTTTGGCTTTCGCTCCCTGTGTTTCAGAACCCTCATACGGTACTCGGCACGGAGAATCTCTGCAGGATCGTCAGTGTGATTTGTCTTCCTTTGTATTATTTTGCGTGCATCATCATTGTTTTTTTCCACACCTTAAAGCAAAATGAATGCATTGTACAGCAAATTACATTTTATCAAGTTATATATTCAATGTAACTATATAATATAATTTTGTTTTGTTTGATACCTGACAAAAGATTGATGTAGTGTAWTAATATCAATTATTAAATTACCTTGTCCACTAAATTGCTTCAGGTTGTCGTGCATCTTAACCATATTAGGGATGTGATAGGCCGCCATGTGCATATAGCAAGTAACACGCTCAGTTTTGTATCCWACCCTTTTATGTCCTAATGATGTAAAATCATCTATCCACTGTTTAATCTGAATTTTGTACAAAAKAARAAAAAAATACTGAGTGTATAGATGGGATTTGATCATTTTCTCTGGCATTYGTAATATATAAATGTAAGCAGCATTTAACAATATTTACCYGAGCACGGTATTGATCAATATTGTAAGGTTTGAGAGATGAAATGAAGCCAAAGTACATGTCAGCAAATTTCTACAAAACAAAACAAAAAATAAAKAAGTAAATGACATTGTTTCTTGGCAATAACAAATTAACAAAAAATACACACCTTCCACAAATCTGCCACTGCCTGAGCAGTGTCTGGCTGAATAGCTTCACCAAGCTTTTGGGGGAGCTCATTGAGTAGTTTCTTTCTGTCGTCTCCCATTAGACTAGTCCAGTCCATGGTCCCACTACCCCTCCCATCTGCATTGTTCTTTTCCCACACAGAAAAGGAGACTCCACAACTGCATATGGTCTCTACAAGTTTCTTTAGGTGGGTTCCTAAGTTTTTCCCTCTGTTTCTAAATTGATCTTTTTCATCCCACTGTAATGCATCCTCGATCAGATTGCCAATCAGGATGTCAGACACTCTGAGCATAAGATGGAGCTCATCTGGGATGATTTTGTTTAGAGCTATCGACAGGAGAGGTTTAGAGGTGCAGCAGAAGTCTCCAGTCTCTGCCATTTTTTTAAGTTCATCTAGCGTTCGCTGCATAGTACCACTGTCGTAGTAGTCGTCAGGTTTGGTCATATCACCTCTAGCATTATGAAAAGTAAAATAAAGTGACATTTGTGTAGGGTAGGGAAGTTTCATGTGACTGTTTGTATGTGATTTACTGTTATTGGTTTAAAGAATAAAGGAAATGCAATTGTGGATGCATTAGCTACCTCTCATTCTTGTGAACCTTGCACCATATGCATGCATAAGTTGAATTAGCAGCACCGAGACCCATGACAAGCAGTAATAACTTAAAAAAAAAGGAATATTATTAATACTATTTCATTTTTGTCAATAAAGAAAAATTGCATGCTCATTTACCTTGTAATCACCACCAAGAAAGAAATCCACCTCTACCTTTGAACCATCCACCATAATGTATCCATTTTCCTTTACCAAGTTTATTTCATTGAATACATCTCTAAAGCTATTCTCCAATGTTCCCCTGGATTCAGACCCATTAACTACAGCAATTGTATGTGTTCCTAACAGCAAATTGTTTAAATAAACTTTGTTTGGTTATGAAATATCACTTAAACAATATAGAAGCTTATACATTTACTTTTCTTATCACTAAATTATATWTGATTCATATGYATGTTTTTT